GGCTCTGAGACACTTGCATGTTATTTCTCCTGCTCTTTTTCTAGCAAAAACTCACTCATTACTAAATGAAAACTTAAAGTGAAGACCTGATTATTTCAGGAGCCTTTTCACAACTCCATTGTTTTTTAATTGCTGTGTTACTTTGGCTATATTTTCACACTTAAAACAATAATTTGGTATTCCTCTTTTACCATTGTCCTCTTTTATGTTAAGAAACAAGTCACCTGGCAGTTCTCTCCCGAGTGGTTCCACTGCTGCCAGCATTAAGTCTCGAGTATGATTCAGTGGGCTATATAACACATTTAATTGTCAGGAAATTACTTGTCTTTAAATGTTTTGGTTCAATATACTTACCTGTTGATCAAAAATAGCCTTAAACCTATACACTTTTTTATTATACTTTCAGGAGGGTGTACTCATTTTTGCAACAACATTTGATCACTTTGATAAGAAAATCTTATTTTGCTGAATAATTTTGGCATTCTTCTTTGGTAATTGATCAAGCAGGCTTGTTGGAACATTACATCTTCAAAGAATCCTAACATGTCTTCTAAGTAAAGAGTAATTGCTGAATTTGTTAAGTTTTAGAGGGGGTGTACTCATTTATGCTGTGCACTGTAGATAGCCAAACATAACCAAATATAAAAAAAATGTAAGAATTTTTGGTGGTGTTCATTGGTGAAATACAGGTAGAACCTATATGTGAATGCAAACACTTCTGGATCTCAGCCAGGTCAGGACTCTGACTTAATGAAGCCTGCAGTGCACACAGAAATTATTCTTGGAATAAGCAGAGGTGGATTTAAGGTGTGTTGACATACTTGACGGACAGGGAGAAGTCTCCAGGTGCGCTCTCGCTCTCTCTAATGAGGAAGGCTCCGTCGTGCCTCTGTTTGTTTAGGATCTCCTCCGCTCTGGCCCTGGGGATTCTCCCAAAGAACCACCTGTGAACACACACCAACATAAACCTTACCATTATATCAGAACTAAGACACGGTATAAGGAAAACTGCAAACAGAAGAGGTGGAAAGAGATCAGTCAGTCATCAGCTGAAGATGATTCTCACTGATTTACACGGAGGTGTGGATGAATAGAAAGAGGAAAGATCTTTTGCAAAGCACTGGTCCTGAGTAGTGGTCGACCGATATATCGGCCGATATTTGGCATTTTTTAAATATCGGCATCGGCCGATAAGTTTTACTGTTTGGCCGATGCATTCGAGGTGGGACTTTTATTTTGACGGCGCTGACAGCGACTGCTCACATTCTCCCTCTTGTTCGCCATTGTCATTAACAGTTCTGTCTAATACGGATAGAAGTCTGTCTAATAATTAGATAGAACGGTTAAACAAAGGAATTAAAATGTATACAAAAAGTATTAAAACGATTGCTTTTATATTATTAGTAATAGAAAGGCAAACATTATAATACTTTCTTGTTTGCCGTCAGCATTCAGCAAATACGCATTTATATAATTTAAATAAATCTTTGAATGACTAATGAATATTTAATTTCACAAAGCTTGCAAACTTATTCGGATCTTGTGAAGTGTGCATTTGTATCCTGCATGATCACGTGTTCTCTGTGTGACAGTCGGTCCGTGTGAATGGAATGCGGACAGGAGGAGAGTTCGGCTTCACTGGAGATGCACGATCGACAAACTTTTAACTCGTGATTTCAAATTATGCTGCGCTTTATGAATTTGCCCACTGCCATATTCATGTCTTTTCCACTGTGTGCTGTATGTAAAATGAGTGTTACCTTGGCTTTATTTGAAAAAATATGATTCCCAAATCCCAATGCACACAAAATTCCCAGAATACTGAGTGCCCTGTTGATTACAGTGTTTACTTCGTTTTTTATTATATTTTTATTAAATATTTATTTATTTGTGAAAAATACTTTGTCATCTAAAGTATAAGTATGTTTATTTAACACATTTACTTTTTAATCCATTTTCAAATGATTTCAAATTTCTTAAACATTAATTAAAATAAATAAAATTATATCGGCCATCGGCCACCCTGCTTTCAAAGATATCGGCATCGGCCGTCAAAAAACCAATATCGGTCGACCACTAGTCCTGAGAGTAGCAGCTTAGGAAAATGAGATGCCAGTTTTCTGTCTGATGGAAAGGCAAGAGAGCAATTAACACTGGCAAAGATGAGCGCAGACAATCAAAAAAAAAAAAAAGGCAGCTCAGAGAAAAATCAGCTCAGAAGAACAGCTACATTTAGAAGATCAGGAAAACACACAAGTTCAGATGATCAGCACAGAATGCTTCATTACAGCAGGTGTGTGTGAACAAAAACATGCAGATGTGGCTAGATTGTGGCAGACATAAAAACGTCTGCCAGTGTCTTCTTTCTTCTTGAAGAAAGCTGGTTGCAAGCCATTTTATAAACCATCCAACAATATATGTCCTTATTGAATGAAATTGAAGTTTGAAGTCAAACTTCACTAGATCTGGCTGTGTTTGTGGATGTGTGCTGTGGTGAACTGGGTTAAGCAAACCTGACAACCAAAGGCCTTTATTTACTGGAGTGACAAGATACAGCTGACAAATCCAAAGTTCAATTACTGTGTGTTATTCAAAATGATAGCCAATGTCACCACTGTGCTTACAGACCTAGGAATAGAGATCCGATCCGAGATCCGATTTCGTAATTACTGCTCATTCAAAAAGTCGGGAAAAAAAAGAATTCAGTAGATTAAAAATAATAAATTAAAATATATAAATGTAAGAATAGTTGTACAAATGATTTACAGTATTTACATTATTGAGATCCAATTTCATATTTACTACCATTCACAGGCTTGATCAAAAAAATTAAATAATTACTGCTCATTCATAAAGTGCCCCCCCCCCCAAATTCCATTAAATAGGAGTGACAAGATACAGCTGACAAATCCAAAGTTCAATTACTGTGTGTTATTCAAAATGATAGCCAATGTCACCACTGTGCTTACAGACCTAGGAATAGAGATCCGATCCGAGATCCGATTTCGTAATTACTGCTCATTCAAAAAGTCGGGAAAAAAAAGAATTCAGTAGATTAAAAATAATAAATTAAAATATATAAATGTAAGAATAGTTGTACAAATGATTTACAGTATTTACATTATTGAGATCCAATTTCATATTTACTACCATTCACAGGCTTGATCAAAAAAATTAAATAATTACTGCTCATTCATAAAGTGCCCCCCCCCCCAAATTCCAGTTAATTAAAAATAATAAATATAAATAAACTAAAATATTAAAACCTGTAAATTGTTGTATTTTAATTAAACAAGATTTAAATATAATAATAGTTTCTGCTTCGGTTTTCATTAATGAGATCAGGTGTCATTATTGAGAAAAAAAATATTTAAATTAAAAATATATAATATAATATAATATAATTATTAATAATAAACTGAAAAAGTCACACTGAACAGACTATAACTCCAAACTTCATATTTTCATTCAAATCAATTTAAATGTGTAATGGACATCTAGTTTAAACAATGATATAAGCTGATACTTTTACTCTATACGTACTTATATTATAATACATTTCTGCTCCCAGAGGGTCTGTTATGTAAGGCCAGGAATAAAACCACAGGCTGTCTCCGCTGTACCTGCCTTATCTGTCCTGTCTGCTTTGATGTGGACTGCACAAGCCACAGTCACACAAACACAAAGAGCATGTGACCAGGAAGTGGCATTAAAGCACTTGAGGGCAAATTCCACTCAACCACTGTCCGCACGCCGCATCCTGTTCGACAATATGCTTGAACACGTGGATGGCATTTACATTGCCTGTTCTGATAAGAGGCATCCGCCTGCTCCTACCATAAACCTGGCCAATCTTGTGTACCTGTTGTTTTGATGGTAAAAAGCAGATGTTTTCTGGGATGTCAAACAAAGCGAGTGAAAAAACGTTGATGACTATCAGTTCCAGTGATTCAAATGATCAATTTTCAATTAGCCTCCCTTAAGCACACCACAGGAAAAACTAATATAATTAACTCTCCATTATTTAAAACTTATTATTGTAAATAATCAAACTATATTAAAACAATGGAATGTGGCCTTCAAATATTTGCATCTGCAAGTGATTATTCAAGTAAAAAACAAATAGCAAAAATAAATGAAGGTTGGCTATTTTGACTTGGGCCAGCAAGAAACCACCCAGGACACCCTAGCAACCATACAAGACACTAAAGCACTCTGCGTACCTTAGCAACCTTAGCAAGTAATGTCATAGTAATCACCAAAAACATCATAGCAATCATTTAACGCTCTACAAACACTCAGAGTATGTTAGCAACCATATAGTAACACCTTAGCAACCACACAAAACACCCAAGCAACTACATAACATACAACAACACTTAAAAACACAATATGTACGTTTTCGCCGCTAGAGGTCGCATTTTCAAAACAATAACAAAGGTGAAGCTTGATGATGCTATGAAGGAGAGTGGAGCGATGGGAGATGTCGTTGTCACCATCCAGAGATGTATGGAATTCATGAATTCACAGATTCACCGATTTAATTTTTTTTTTTTATTACCTGTACCTTCCAAAGTTATTCAAACAGTGAATAAATTCTACAGAGAAAGCAACTGACTTCAGTCTAGCGCGAGTTTAAGCACTCTCAAAAAACTCCCCTTATAATCAGTAAAGCTGTCGTTACACTGTTTGATGAATGAATCTCCTACTTACATTATACGTACACAGGGCCTAAAACTAACTTTTTGCCACACCTGCCAATGACCGGTGACATGATAAAATTTACCGGCCAAAATTTTTTTTTGCCGGCCATGAAACTCTTTTTGCAAAAACAGGCAGTTATTACTACTACAATAACTAAACATATTTACAATGTTTTTAATTTGTCCTGCTGGTGCATTTTCCCTCAATTTTACCTATTAATTATAGCCATTCAACATTACAGTATAATTGAAAGCCATTATTTTTAACATTTAATAGGTTCTGAAATGTATAACAACTTTTAATTTAAGTGATTTTAAAACAATCTTCACATAAACTATATTATATATGCATAAACTATACATATTAATCTTTATTCAAGCTATAAAAGTTAATCAGCGACTAGAACAGTCCAAGGATTTCTCTTTTTCTTGAAAAAGACTGACACACATCCGATTTTCTCCCAACTCTTCACAGTCATTTATAACTCATTTAAGACTCCGTTTACAAGGTATCTCGCCAAAACCGCGCATTTTGACATAATTGTGTGTGTTTTCGTGCGTTGAAGCGCTACTGGTGAGCTGTCTGAAGCAGCTCAGCGTATGTGTACAGCCGAACGCGCAGCCTTTCAAACTATACTTCACTGCACCATTTAGGCGGCGTAACCCCAGGTATGTGTCGCCACATTCTTGGGTTATGAAGAATAAAGAAGGGAAAAGTTAATCTTCTGAAATGAAGCAGCAAAATCTTCTCAGGTAAAAGTTATCAAACTATACCTGTTTAGGCAGCGTAACCCCAGGTATGTGTCGCCGAATTCGGGTTATGAAGAATAAAGAGAATAAAGAATAATCTTCCGAAATGAAGCAGCAAAATCTTCTCAGGTAAAAGTTATTAGAACCGTGTCTAGGGACAAGCTGGCCATCGCACTGCTCTGACCTTATCAGTCCATTTGTATCCTATTATTCGATTCGCTCTTGTCGCTTATGACAGAACAGCTAATCATGATGATCTGGTCTTCGGAAAAGATTATTTTATTTGCTTATGTCAGAAACAGCGAATCTCTTTAAAAAAACGGGCTGTTGTTCCCACTAGATTGCATTGTTATAATTCGTAAAAGTTGTACCCGCCAACTGGCGACTGACACTGTTACATGGACTCGCCAACGCTGATTTTTACTCACATTTGGCGCTTGGCGAGTGTTAATTTTAGGCCCTG